TTTCAACTACTTACATTTTGCCATTATACTATCGACCTGAAGTCCAATATTATTATATAACTGTCACCGTTTATGTGTGAGGTACATTGCCCTAATATTATTGGGCTTTAGATAGTACAAGAGAAAACTGTAATATTGTATTGAGGTAGTAGAGTTTTTGAACCCAATATATTTTCATCCAGCTTTTGTAGAGTCCAAATGATAATTGATAACAATTGGTACCTAATTTGACTAGACTTTTAAATTATCAATTGGATTTCGTATTTATTTATACTTTAACAATAGTAATTAAAACTACTTATCTAAACTATGTCTTAATGTCTTAATGGTAATGTACCCAGAAGGCTGCGAGCGTTTCCTCTTTGTATAGCCAAACTTATTCTTTGGGCGAGGTACAAACCAGCCTTCTGATCATCTGACCTGTCAAAAATCTTCTTTTTTAACTCTTGGGAAAGACGTTGGGCTCCAGGGCCCCACGGACCCTTCGTTTCGACCCCAAACGGCTCAAATATGTAGGTATTACTTATATCCGAATATATTACTGTAAAGTTGAGATTTTATCGCGATGCAATAATAACGGTAACATTAGCGGACGGAAACATTAGCGTTTTTAAAGATGAGTAAAATTAAATTACACAGTTAATTATATATTTCCCTATCCCATACCTAAAAATTACCAGCTACCAAATTGCACCTCCGATAGCGGATACCTCGTTATACTAAAGATGACAATAATTGTTGAAAGTGTCTAAGATAATAAACATGTTGGCTAGGCCTCAATTTTCCTTAATTAATTAAATACCTATTTTGTTAATGATTTTAATACATAGAGACCAATGACTATCAAAACCCATCATCATCAGCCCTTTTACGTCCCCACTGCAGGGGCTCAGGCCTTCCTTATGGATGGCTAAGGAGGATGGGCCATGACCCTCCACGCTGGCCCAATTGGACGGTATAAACGACTGCAAATGCAGCCGAGAACATACAGCTTAACGTGCCTTCTGAAGCACGGAGTAGCTCGAGATAATGATTTTTTTGGTCACCCATCCTATGACCGACCATAGGGCCGCGGCGCTTATCCACTACGCCACCGAGCTACTCAAATCAAAAATGCGTATTGATAAATCGTCAGTAATATTTGATTTCGAAAGTAGACATCATTGATATTCAAATACGTGACTGTATAAAATAAGATGTGATTTTATTGACAAAACCTTAAAAAAACATTTTGAAGCTCGTTATGATGCAATATGTACCTAGTTTTTTCATCATCACCAACAACTAATTAATTTTCCCACTGCTGGCTTTGCCTAATGGTATCGATTCGGATGGGAAAAAGCCATGATCCACCACACGGACCCAAGTAACAATCGGTAATCTTACATATGACCGGCCTTAGCGAAAGTTGGTTCGTAATCGCAGAAACATTAATTAGAAGTTAAAGTTATCATTAACCTATAAATTACATTTGTACAACTGGATGTTAGAATATATTTGCTTGTTTACAAATATTTTTTAAATTAAAGAAACAACCTATTGAATGAAATTCTAACATTCTTGTGGCAAAGTAATAAAACCCAACCTTCTTTCTCGAGGTAATGTAATATACTTCTCTTGTAGTAACCACGCCTTTTTATTCCTTATTTATTCGCTCAGTAAATTCAAAGGAATAGCAAATTTACCCTCAAAGAAAATTCTTTTCGTTGAGATTGTAGGGCGAATGATATTATGGTATTACCTATATCTACGATAACTCGATTACATATTTAAATGTAGTTAGAAACATAATATTATTAGAACTTTATCTTTCCTTTGAAAATATAAAGGAATTATTAAATCATAAAACGAATGCATTAAATTAATAAGTGACGTATATAGTTACATGGAAAATTAAATAATTGAAGAATTGTATATTATATATTAAAAAGTCTTTAAAATAATTTAAAACTACAATATTTTATTGAAGTTTGCACTTACAAGGTGTTGCGTATGCTACGTTAACACATAATATAATAAATCGTGACATGCCAAATAAATTAAACTGATATAATAAAACAAAACGTGAAGCTTATGTTACTTTAACCATTTCAGTTGGTTAACAAATAAATCATTTCTATATTCTTTTTTAATGTTATCCGAGACTATATTTTTTAGTATTCTAGTTTGAAGTTTATATATTTCATTCAAGTAAGATTTATAGGTGCGACCATAACTACTAATACCGTATTGAACATAGGACTCGGCCAATGCATGGTATAACAGTAGTTTCATTTTGAAAGGAATTCGATTTTTTAGAATTACTATATTTGCCAAAAATTGTCTAAGCTTATTACAGACGTATTCTATGTGTTTGCTCCAGTTAAATTTATTATCTATAAGTAACCCAAGATACTTTATCGAGCTGACTTCTTCTATTGCAGGACAGTAACTCGTATTGTTGGGATTGTGTAGGCAGTTATGATTATGGGCTACTATTGTTTTTGTAGGAAAGCGTTTTACATAGGGAGATTGAATAACTAATAATTTAGTTTTATCACAATTTAATACCAGACCAGCATCGTGGCACCACCCAGTTAATAAGTCAAAATCGGATTGTAAAAGCCCACAAGCTACTTCCGTGTCTTTGCATATGAACACAAACCAACAAAACTAATCGAGTTACCCAAACAGCTACATTGCCAAAGTATTAATAAGACCTAAACTATTAATTATTGATAGGAATTGTCCATGGCGCTATCTCCCTTTCGTACGAATTACAGTTTGTGCTACACTTTCAAAATTAAACTGTCTGATAAAATCATAAGGTTCACAATACAATTGGTTTATGGTATACCTGTCCACACAAGTTGTTTGTTTGGCTATCCAGTATTAATTTATGAAGCCATAACAGTCTGTAAGCTCTACAGTATACATTCATTTGTATTTTATTCGTTTTAAATAAACATTAATTTCAACACGTTTTAAGTTAATAATGTCACTCTTTACTTAAAATTCCAAAAGTTTTATATAAATTTTCGAAGAGTAATTGACAGTTTTATGAAGGCATTAATGAAAATTTATACTAACGTGAAGTTTGAGTTAAATAATTCAAGTAACCATAAATAACTTAGCGTTCCTACTTATACTGAAATTATAATTTCTACTTGACTGTTATATAATCAGAATTATTATCCTATTATACGATAAAATATATATTGTAAGTAACATTATAATGGTACATTTTTATGAAGTATAAAACGAGGTTGTATACGATATAGCTCTATGTTCATTAATATCCAAACAGTTGTATAATTGGTACTAATGTTAACAAATTCAATGCAGTCTGTTTTAATTTTATATCGTGCGGTTGCAGCAGCTCGGGATTTTGTCTTAATTAATTCCTGCTAGCACCCCATACAGCTGTGAACATTATCTGCGGTGGATACAGTTATATTCAATTTATATTTATTGCTTACTTTTATATTGCAATTTTAATTACGAGGGGCATATTGTGGAGGTTTTAATAAAACTACAATTAGGCATGGTTAGTTAGTTTAAATATGCGTGTATTAATAATACGGTTGAAGATGGGTTGAAGAATTTCGTTGCAATAATCTAAACAGCTTAAATTTTTACCTGGAAAAAATATAAAGGCATTTGATAGTTCTAGATGATGTGAGAGTTAGCTGAAGAACGAGTTGATTCGGAAGTCACAGCTTATATAAGGAACTAGCTTACCGCCAGCAGCTTCGTCCGAGTGGCCTTGTACATATAAACCTCCTCCTCTTGAACCACTCTGTATATTGATAAATATCGCATTAAAACTCTTTGTGTAGTTAAAAAATCTCACAGTACAGACAGCGGGAAGTAACTTTATACTTTAACGTTATTTACAAATAACAGATTATATAATGAGATGATTTATTTATTTATTCTTATGTCTTGAAAAAATCACAAATATTATTTTGTATATCGAAAAACAAAACATACCGTCAAATTTCATAAAATCTTGAGATGGACATCGTATTTCGCAAAACTTATCCTCCCTACCCGAGCATTTTGTAAAAGGTCCGAATAACATATACATATAAACAACAAAACTAGAGAACGAATGGGAATATATAACGTATACAAGATTGCTTTGCCTTTGAACCTTGTGCGGTATGTGTAATAACATTTCCAAGTTTTTGAACAAAGAAGATACCCGTTTGAAGTGAACAGCGGCTCGCAATATCTGCTGCCCTTCTGAATATTACTTATAAAAATATTAAGTTGAACGCATTTTCTTATAACTGTATACCTATACTGATATTATAAAGACAAACGATGTGATTATTTAGCTACATCACGCGCAGTTGATCTTGGTTATAAATTACGCTAACGAAATTGTGTAAAAACAACTAGTTTACTAATAAATTAAAAATATAAGACGATATTTAACAAACCGTCGTTAAATTGATGATTTTGTTTAAAACAAAATAAATAGAAAATGTTACACCGTTTCAACAAATAAATATTACACTACTTTAATAAATTTTAATAAAAGAAATAATATATCTGTATTTTAAAGAATACCAAACTTTTTATATAATCTGCAGAATCACTGAGTGTGCCCCAATCATGCGTTTAGATGTACGCAACTTTATGTACACATTCATTATTATTATTTAGATGTTTAAAACAATATTTACTAATACTAATTATAAAAATCAGTACAAAAAATAATTACAAATAAAACATTAGACTTAAAATTAAAATAATGTGTTCAATTACTATGCAATTTTTAAGGAAAGATGGCATAATTAACAGGACCATAGAGTAGGTACAGAGCATCGAAGACAAGAGACACACTTCCATTTGCACAAACTTCCATTAAAATAGTCATTAGTTTAAAGCGACATTAGCGATAAACATTTTCTAATTTAGAACATTTATAAGAGCTAAAAGAGAGTAAAGATTGAATTTCGCCTATCGTTTTCAATAATCCTTTTAGTATATAACTCTTATTTCTTTTCCAGAGTCGAGAGAGTCTCTCTTCGGATGGTGAAGGCGCCAGGGGCGATTGTTCTTCCGTTGACTCTTCTGGTTCAGGGTCTGAAGAACAGCCTCCTTGCGATATAGGAGTGTTGGAGAGGCTGATACGAACACATCCCGTGTGGTTTCTGCCAGGCATACAGAGGGCCGGGGCTTTCCATCTATTGCAAGGGAAAGAAGAAGGGGTAAAATAATTTGTTTATTTTCAAATATTTTCTAAATCAGCTTTCTTGTGAGCTCGTAGTTACTTACATATAATTAGATCTGGAAATGTTTTTATGGAAAACCATTACGATTTGTATTTTTGTTGGTGGTCTTAATGCATTAAATTATATGCCCTAACTTTCGCGTATAGAAATTACAAAATAAAGTTGTTTTTTTTTACAATTATAATTAAGACCATGTTTTTGTCGTTCATATACTTTTCAAAGATTTAAAAATTATCTTAGCAATGAAGCTCTTGTTGGAAATTTGTATAAACAATACAACTTTTTTTTCCATATTATCATTGTCTATAGTATCTACTAGGGTTTTCAAATACCCGACAATTTTAGATACCCGGGTCTCGGGTACATTTATTTTAAATACCCGGGTATACTCGGGTACCCGGGTATTCTTGGTTTTTTTGTGAAACTGGGAAAAAACGAAAACGAAACGAACCAAACTCTGGTACATAAAACTAAACAATTACATTTGTTTCAGTTAAACAATAATCACTCTTTAGTCAGTCTATAATTCTTCAATCAGTCACACTTAGTAATGAATACAAACAATTATACATTGTTATAAATATTTATCAAGTTATATTAGTATCTAATCTTCTCTGTATATTAAGTATATTTCTTTATCAAATAAAAACAAACGAACCAAAGTCTGGTACATAAAACTAAACAATTAAACTTTTTTCAGTAAAACAATAATCACTCTTTAGTCAGTCTATAAATTACTTTATCAGTCTTTCTTAGCTTGTAAAAAGCGAGCTTTCAAAAATACAATTGCATGTAGAGATTTATCTGAAAGTCTGTTTCTGGTTTTTGTCACAAAATTCCCAGCTACCGAAAACACTCTTTCGCTGTCGGTTGATCTAGGCTTGATTGTTAACAAGGCCTTGTAAAGAAGTTCTAGATTAGAAGTGCGTTGTTTGGAGACTTCGAATAACTGAAAAAAACTATTCGGCATTATTTCTTACTTAAATAAATAAAAACAAGTTTTTTTTATATTATAGTGTTATCTTTGTTGTTATTTGATTTATAAAGTTTTTCTAAAAGTATTGTTATATAAGTATATTGATATTGCTATGTTCTAAAATAAAAGAGAACGAATAAAGAAATTAATTCTAAGAAAATTTATTACCTGGAATTCCTTCTTAAACTTAGAGCGATCAATCTTAGTTGCCGAAATAGACGCAGTAGCTTTGTTTATGGCTTCATTCGATTCAGATTTTAATGATATATTATCATTGTTATTGTTAGCCATAGCCATAACCACATTTTTCTGCAGGCGTTTTGTCTACCAACGCGCATATATCAAAATTACCCGAGACCCGGGTACGTCCGTTGTTTGTACCCGGGTACCCGATGTATCAAATACCCGGGTATACCCGGACCCGGGTACCCGGGTAAAAAACCCTAGTATCTACCATATGAAATGTATAGCTATTGGTAATTTTCATTTGCTTAAAATCCTTAGTTATTGTTACTTAAATTGTGTGTTCCAGAACTTTGTAGTCCGACAATCGAGCCAGCCGGACACAATGGCGATCAGCGTCCGGTTACCTGCTGACAAGGGGCCTTACATAGAGCACTACCTGATACAGGCTTCAGGGGGCCGTATCGGCCTGGAGACTTCGCATAACCGCTTCGACAATATACCCGAACTGATCGCGCATTACTGTCAGTGTTGGTGAGTTGATAATTGTAGTAACTTTTTTATTCGCTTCGTATAGATAATAGGGATAACGACTGGGTAAAAAAAATGCAATTCTATTTAGTCCGTCAGTCAGATAATAGAAAAATATTAGATACATATATTTTTTTTACTTCAATTTATCAAGAAATAACTTAGATAACAGGCATTAAAGTTGAGGAGTGGGGTCTTACTACGTCACAGTTGAGTAGAAAACATACCATAACGTGACGTCAGACGAAATTTCTGATTACGAAAAAAATAAAAATATACGTGTTTAATATTTTTTAACACTCTACTTGACGGACAAACAAACAAAAATTAGTCATCATCCGTATTAACATAGATACAAGAAATGATATAAGAAAGGAGCGACTTTGATGTGTACCATGTACAAAAGTTCTTACTCTAAAGCATACCTAGTTAAAGATATTTAAGTAAGACATGCAATATTATATGCAAAGATAAGGCGTGTATTATTATTAAAATATTTCATCAATCTTAACATCCTTCATTGTCTTTTCAGGCAAATTTTACAGAAAGTAAAAATGTTCTGATTTTCAATTTACAATAAAATCATTGTCTTAAGTAGAAATACTCTGTTTTTATTAAGTCGAGTTTTACAGTTTACAAGTAGTGAAAACATTTTGTTTTTTTAGCATTATTTTTAGTTTTTTTTAGATATATGTATATTTCTATGCTTAATCTATGTAAAATATAAAAACGATGAAGACGAGTTCGCACTGATATCGAACTATTACATACAGATCCCTAACATTTATAAAACTTTCTATCGACTCCGATAATGGAGGATTCTAAAATCAAAATATTTTTCAAATAGGTCTACCAATTTCGAAGCCCATCCAATGCAAACAATTAAATCTTTTATTTTTTTAATATTACTAGCTTTTCGCCAGCGGCTTCCCCCGCGTGATTTCCAGAGAACTGTTTAGCAGGATATATATTTGTAACATTATATACTCCTGTAATGCACAATATTACTAGCTTTTCGCCAGCGGCTTCCCCCGCGTGATTTCCAGAGAACTGTTTAGCAGGATATATATTTGTAACATTATATACTCCTGTAATGCACAATTTTTTTGGGTGACCATAAAATTATTATCTTGAGCTACTCCGTGCTTCGGAAGGCACGTTAAGCCGTTGGTCCCGGCTGCATTTGCGGTCGTTAATACCGTCCAATCCCCATTGGGCTAGCGTGGAGAGTCATGGCCCATCCTCCTTAACCATCCATAAGTAAGGCCTGAGCCCCTGCAGTGGGGACGTAAAAGGGCTGATGATAATGATGAAACTCCTGTATAGTAAACAATGGTAACTATGGTAACGTTATAATTCCCTATACAAACTTTCACTTTCATTTTCATCCCTTTGTTTACATTTTTTCAGGATAAAATATAACTTAAATGATGATATGATGTAGCTTCCCGTAGGTGAAAGAATTTTTAAAACCAGTCCAGTAGTTTCGTAGCCTAATTGTTGCAAACCAACAAACATATCAAAAACAATCAAATCTTTCCTCTATATTGTATTATTATTAGTATTATGTACTATAGACAATATCAAAGTTTGATGTATTTTTTTCCAGTGATGAACTACCGGTGCAACTTCAGTTACCGCGTGCTCTTCGCGAAGCAAAAAGTCGCCATCAACTCAGTTCGCTGACGCTCCTAGGCCAGGAGTTCTGGGGATACCCGATGGCGAATCCAAAGAATAACCCAAACAATCTCTTATCACCATGTCAACTAGCTAACGGAATAGTACCGATGGCTGTTACCCCCTCTGACACAGGATCTAGTCTAAGCAGTTTTAATGCAAGTAAGCACTCCTTTATGAAGTGACAATATTGAAACACGCCTTTAAATACCGATATTAATATTGTTTACCTTTCAGGCACAGGAACGAATTCCAGAGAGCATGTTGTAAGTTGTGAAAGAGATAAAAATGTAGTATTGAAAATGTCACCTATTGAACCACCTGAATCCCCACCGAATCAAAACCAGAATGTTAGCACTTTTAAAGGAAGAACGCCGCCATCACCACCTGCAAAGCCCGCCAGTGCGTTTATAAGGGCACCTAGACCGACCCCACCAAATACTTTAAATCTTATGTCTAGTACTGTAAGTTTTATTATTATTATTTTATTTTTAATTTATTTAAATGCAAAAGCTTTTTGGTGTTATTTAAACTTGATATTAATAAAAGCTCACGTGTTTTCAGGCTCATATAACCCAACCTCATACATTTCCCACTGCCAACACACAACATTCACCCACCTCCAATAATGTAAAAATCACGCCTCCACCGCCACCTCCGCGATGGGCAAAACCTCCTTTTTCCAAACCTGTCTTATCCCCGACATCTGAAGCCCTTGCTTTCAGCCCGATTAATAAAGCTTCACAGAATGGAAATATAACAGTCACAACAACGGTCACTTTTTGTGTGAATAATACCCAAATTCATAATCACCAAATCAATGAAAGCATACAAAGCGACCGGCTGCAACTAACGCTTGCGTCTAATGCTATGAACAATAACAGTTCTTCAGACGCTGTATTCAATCTCTTGGATACAAAACCTTTTGCTGATCCTGTTGGAGAGCCACAGGTGAGGTTTATGGATAATCATGATGCATGTGTGCTCATTCGCATGTTGCAAGTATATAGATAGATATTGTTTGTATTTGTATCTAACCTTTCTATGCATCTATCAATAATATTTAGTGTTTAAAAAAATGTACTTACTGAGCTTATTCCTGTTCCTGTGTAGAATATGATGCACCGAATGTCACCAGAAGGAGAGTGTATCAATGCCATAACAGCTAGTTTGCACGGGAGCTTCAAAAAGCAAATAGCTGAACAAAATACCACCGAACCAGGATCGCCTATTGAGCAGTCCCAAACTAATACTTCTGATTCAGTTGACCCTATCGCGAACAGTTTGACTAAATCATCTAGCAACGGTTTCGCTCCAAATCAAATGGTTTCTCCAAATGGAACAAATTCTATTACCAGTGGCATATTTTCACCAACAAGTCAAATCAACTCCCCAGTGTCTAATGATACTATTTCAACCAAAAGTGGTGTGTTTTCACCTATTAGTCAAACAAATAAAAGTGAAATATTTTCACCCCTTTCCAGAAGCTCTCCTATTTCTGGAAAAAATGTATTTTCTCCAAATTCAAATCAATCTATTGTATCTCCAATGATAAATAATAGAGATAAAATACTATCCCCAAGTACGAACACAACAAGTACCACACCATCTGGTAGATCAAGAAGAAGTCGACATTCTCAAAGAAAAGAGTCCAGACATTATCAGGTAGGAGTGAACTTAATCGTGAAAGTAGTATATATTTGTGTATCAATATACTATTTGATCATCACTAACAGTACGACAGTATAGTGTGACAATAAAAAATGAATACATGATATTACTTAAAAATAACTTTTCAAGTGTATATTCATTAATTTAAATAATTTCTTTCTTAGGAATCCGATATTTTAGAATCTCCGGGCGTGTATTATAGAAGTTCCTTGATGGATAAAGTATCTGATTATGAAGACATCTGGGGACCAGAAAGTAATAATTGCTCAACTTTTAAACCGTTAAAACAAGATAATAATGAAAACAATAATAATAATGGCCTTATGAAAAGTAAGAAGCCTGATCTTTTACCAGACACATTGCGTAAGTTATTTTTTCCTATATCATAATATTTACCTTTCAAACTTTAACTTTAAGAAAACATTATATTCTGAAATTCTATTATAGCCAAAATGAACAATGCAAAGAGTACTCAGTCAATTTTGGAGAAAGAAAATGTTCATATACTTCATTCTACAGAGAGTTTGTGTGAAAAGAAAAATCTCTCTGATAGCTCATTAAAGAAGAGTTTTAATAGTTCACATGATCTTATTGCTACAACTAACAGTAAGGGTGATATTGTGCCTAAAAGGCCTGATAAATTAAATATTATGATGAATATGAACAAGAAGCTCACTGAAGAGATTGAAGCTTCCTTTAAAAGTAGAGAGAACCATAATATCGAAAGCATGGAAACGATCAAATTAGAAGATGATCGCATTATTTCAAAAGGTTCAATAGAAGACGACTCAGAAAAAGATAATACTGGAAGTCCGTTTTATGCAGACCCTGTAGATGCAATCAAAGAAGTAAGCATCAAATGCCATTGTTTAAAGTTTTCCTTTACAAATGAATCAAAGCCACGTTAATTTATTGTTTTTTTTTTACAGGCGGGCCTACCCCAAGTTACACGTCGGAAGCTAATAAGGGTTGGCATGAATCTTTCTCAAAGGTATTCAGAGCCACCAAATCATAATCACCCGTATTATCCTTTAAGAGATATGCACAGTATAGAAGAACTATCACGTAAGTGTAATACCAAATTTTTGATAATAATTTGTTTTACATATAATTCGATCAACTGTTTTCATTATAGCATCATCACCTAATACATCTTCGTCGGTTGACAACTTAGTGCCGCTTCGAAGCAAACCAAAAGTGAAACCAGTGCAACCTCCGCGAGTGATCAACAAGCCACCTACAGGCAAGAATGACCAGACTTGGACCGTTGACTCCAGTTGGGAGTTCATAAGTCAGTAACGACAAACCGTGGGCATTCGATTTAGCTTTATTAAAATTTTGGTTGCACTTTTATTTGGATTATTTTAACGCACTTTTACGGTAATTTTATGATAAAATCGAATGTTAGTTTAACGAAAATTTTATTTTGGGGTTTTTCAATTTGCTTTTCTGGAGTCTACTATCAATCAGTCTGGTAGTGTAAACACTGACATTTTTATCGCTTGATACAATAACATCTTAACTAATACAAAAATAAATTTGACACAAAATAAATAAATGATGTCAAATTAATTTAATTATTTTGTATTAAAATATTATTTCCTTGTTTGTTGATAAATCATTTATGTTTGCTTGTTTTTTTTTATATTAACTTTTTAATCAATATAGTACTGATCAATAATGCATTCACCATTAACCATATTTATTATGAATATTGTCTCATTGACATTTTATGTGAGTATTTAGGGGCTGATATACTTATAATAAAAATAAATATTTCAGATAAGAACGATGAAGGTTCTAATAGTGAAAGTGGAACATTCCCATCTCTGGTGGAACAAGAATGTAGACTCAGTGGCGTAGATGACGGAGCTCAACATCTCACAGTTCATCAAGTTGTTGCTCAACGGTTTGTTATTATCATTAATATTTTAAGAAAAGACGAGAAATAAAATAGAATACCTCTTACGTGATACTTTCTTGAAGCAAATTTTAAGTGCCTCAAGGTACAGTTTTAGATACCCTCTTATTTATGAAATATCGTCAAAATAATATTTCTGATTTGCTTTAGATTTCCTGAGCTAAGACTAAATTCTGAACCAATAGCGTTGCCTGAAGAAGTACGATCACCGCCAAGAGCCTCTTGTTACGATAATGTACAAGATCTGCGACCTTTATCTGAACAGGTGATTTTAAATATTACACAAGTATAAATGGAATTTTAATTTTATCTGTGCGGTAAAATTGTTTAAAATATTTTGAACACTACGCAATTCGCAATTAAATTCATATATATTTATCTTCCAGGCTAGTGATGACGGTACTGTATTCTCAGAACCATGGGACAGTTCACAGTGGGACGGTTTGATACCACCACACAACGGACAACAACCTTATGATGCAGTACGTATTATATTGTAAAAAAATATATATATTCTCTTTAAGTGTCAGTGCCACCTTAGAAAACTCACTGTTTTTGAAATTTCAAGTGATAAAATAAGAAATGCAGCCCTACTGTCCTGTTGATCAGTCGATCATAACACTATAACTAATATGTATTCTGTTGTGTAATAGTATTTTTCTTCTTAGGCCTAGTGACGCCTTAATACTTTATTTATTTTCATAAAAATACTATGACAAATTAATATCATATTATTAATCCTTCGTTGTAGTTGCATAAGAAGAATATAAAAATGATTAAAAAAAGAAAAGTAAGCCTGATCGGTCGGTTTTATTTAATGTCGTGACAAAATTATCACTTAGTTAATTATTAAAACTCAATTTACTCTTATTACACCAGAGAGAAGATTGTAACGCATAAATAGACAATTTAATACAGCGCCACAAGGTTTTAAACTACGTAGCGACATTTAGTTTCATTTGGAGTACTATTTCATTTAATTACTTCCTCTTTCAAAATTAAACTATGCGTTTTTAAAACATAATCGTACTTTGTTTGATAGGAAGAGCCTTGCGAATGGGAGTCTCCACTGCCAAGGCGAGGATCCGGAACAACACCTAGAGCTAAGAGCTTCAGAGATCGGCTGGATCCCTTACTAGGTAATTAATGCTAAATTATTTGTTTAAAATCAATAACCGTTGAAGATATTAACGTATGAATGGGAAATTTGTATACAACACGAAGGCATTAGAATGTAAAAGCTGGTGAAGGCCAAGACTCACTTTCAACGATCAGTTTGATCGCGTGCATCACCACGAATCAATCATTATTCAAAATTCAAGCTAAACCTAAAGCTACGCCATCGTTATTTTGTGGCTACCACGCACGGTATTTTTTTATATTGTTATCCCTGAATAGAAAATTAAGAACGGCCATTGCTTAGCTTGCCGCACCCTTGAATAGGGCCCTGATCATAAATGAAAAGAATAATGATGTCAAAGAAACAAAAGATCTGTATAAAGTCCGTAGTAGATAACGCGACAAGGTACGGACTTGTAGTGACATGTTGCGTTATGTTTCTTTTTGCCCAACCCAAGAGATCCAAGCAAGCGACAAAAAATCAATATTACATTAATTAAATGCTATAAATATTACAGTGTTACAAAATATGCGGATGTCATTGCAATTATACGTATTAAGCTACATTACATATAGCATGCAATTTGCAAGAATATTATGAAAATATACATTCTATTAACATTAAAGTAAATATTTACATAATTGATTTAATATATCACATTCATATTAGTATTTTATTGTCAAGTTTTCTGCTTAAAGAAGTTTTGAAGTGAGTAAATTCCCTGCTTAATCAGCTAGATCCATAAAACAATCTTAAATCAATTAAAAAAGCAGTTGCTTTTTCAAATATTTTGTTAGTTGCATTTAAAAAAAAAAGGTCAGTTTGGAGTTGCAATGTATTAGATGATTTTAAGAAAGGTATACATAAAACATGTAGTGCAATATCAAAAATAACTTGAATTATTATACCTTTTGTGTGTACAAGATGACAACTCCAAATATTTGTATGATATAATAACGATAAAACTTTTATATATGTTGCTAACTGAGTTAAAACAATATTTGACAACAAAGGCAACTGAACAGGAAAAATTTGTTATCAGTGAACAGTTTTCCTATGGCTTAGGGACATTTATAAGACATGATTTGTTATTTTTCATTTTTATTATAAATTAATACCTAAGTTAGATATATTAAAATTTTCATGTTAACTGAGTAGTGCACAAATGTGGGTATATTGACAAGACTCGGTCATCAACCTTCGCTGTATAATAGGGATATCATAAGTGTGTAATTTCTTAGGGTCCGTACCCAAATGGCGGAAACGAGACCCTATTATTAAGACTTCTCTATCCGTCTGTCTGTCTGTCTGTCTGTCACCAGGTTGTATCACTTGAACCGTGGTAGCTGAACAATTGGAATTTTAATGTATATTTAAATATAAATGTTGGAAATAAAAACAGAATGAAATAAATTCATGTGGATTCCAATACAAAAAAACATATTTTATTTGGCTTTTTAAAGTTTATGGTATGGAACTCTTATGAGTCCGACTCACACTTGATCGTTTTTATCTGCAACATCAGTAGGTTTAATAAAAACAAACGAAAAGCCTGGATATGATTAAGTAACAAACACGATATTAATTATTTTTTACACTGTTTATAATTTTTTCCTGTTTATAATGGCTCATATGCCAGTTTCGAGAGGTTCCGGACTCGATTCCTGCTTGGATCAATATAGAAAATAAACTTTCTTGTAATATCTCTGGTCTGTATTGTATTAGGTACCTTAGGTGGTTCAGATTCCCATAATACAATTGCTTTAAAGAAAAGAAGGGCAAGATGGAAAGACTTACTTTGTGAAGTAATAAATAGAAACATACTTGGCTTAAGTCTCTTATTTAGTTTATTCTTGAAGGACAATTAAATAATAAAAACATATTTCTTATTAATAATAACAATTCTAGTAAAATATTAGTTATAACACTTTAAGTAAAGCCTTGAGAAATTAAATTTTTCCCTCATCTAGAGGGTAAAATTTTAAAGATTAAATAGCAATTCAGAATATAGTATAACATAATTTTAAGTTTTGCAATTAGTACATAAAATACAATCATTTTCTAGCTTACGTACTTATTTACTGTCGTATTACAGTCATCGTAAGCAGTCTTCTGTACCTGATTTTGCGTATTTTTCTTCAGGGAACTAAGATATTATTCTTTACCTTTCTTTGTTATTTTCAATTTTCCCTTTCCTTTATATTTCCCCTTGTTTTAACAATAGTATTTTTATTCATTGTTATCACATTCATTTTTTACTCCTATTTTGCCCTCAACTTCTAATTTCCATCTTAACGTTACGCTAGTATTATAATTACATTAACATATCTATAACCTAATGAATATTTTGCTTTGGTTATTGAATCAATCTCTATCTGTAATTACTCAATTTATTGTGCATATTTACTATCAAAGCAAATAGTCTTATTTCTTACTTATCTTGAGCAATCAAAGCAGAAAAGTCAGACGTTTTGTAATATTTTCCTATGAAATAAACACATAGCTTGTACATTTTATTGAGTGATGCGATTCGGAATAAAGGGTTTAGCCGGATACGTATGACGAGTCGGCCCCCAAATGGGAATCGATATTGAAACTTATGTTTTAATATCGACTTGATGTTCAAACACGATTTATGTACTTTTCGCGACCGACTTCCGCTTTGACCTTGAGATAGAGAGCAAAATATCCGTATGCTTGACTATTACTGAATGTGATATATCTCTGAAGCTAATTAAGATAAAGAAGTCAAACTAACGCGAGGTGTTAGGTTACATTACAGAGTATATCACATATATTTTTTTATAATTTTTAGAATAAAAAATTACATTAAAAAAATAAAAATAAAAAAAAACATGTTTTTTTTTCTGAGTTCTCTGTGACTTACAATCACGAAATTAATATATGTTATGCTCCTTTGTGTGCTCTATTACCCATAAAAATTGCGTGAAAAAAAAGTTGGTGCAACACAACGAAAAAAAATTATATGTGATTTCTGTCTTATGGTATACCCCTGTATTATAAGGTTTTCACATTACATCATTGTTTTTTTTTTCAAAATTTCACATCAGCTTGTTTTAAAACATAAGTAACTAGTCTTAAGAGATGGGATAATAGTTAAAAAAGAAATGAAAAAAAAACAGCCAGTATTCAATACTTATTATTATTACTTTTTCGTGTCTATCAAAATACAAGAAACAAAATATTAATCATCGTCACTGTTGTAATTAATTACAATCGGAACACTTTGAGTAGCAAATAACTTAGTTAGGACCTCAGCAGGACGTACGATTTTGGACAAATATCATCCATATGATAGATAATAAATAATAGCTGCTACATGAGAACAGCATCCCACTGTACGTTTGCCATTGGGGCAATCACAGCAATAACGAAGAATACTATTGTAGTCATTACCTTCGGAAATATAGTGAATGTAAATTCGATAGACTTTTCTATTTATATGTCTTGATTTTACTTCTGCTTTGATGATATTAGGTGCTTATTTCACATATTGTACTGAGAGATTATTTTGATCGTCCATTATTTCGGCCAAGTTAAATGCTGCACATTTAGAAGTAGAAGCTTTTTTGTTAATATATGGGATAAGTCAACACTTCTTACAAAAAATATCATTAACTATTACGATTTTATTCAAACAGTCACTAAACACTTTAGCTTCTTCTTCATTCTTCATAATTTTTTTATAACCAGGAACCTTACACAGGTACTTGTTACAATTTTTACACTTTCTCGACATTATTACTTAATAATGATTTGGTTCGATAGTTAATAATTTAAAAATGCTGATACAAAATACCTATGACAGAATTGAATTCCCAAACTGCCTTCTTGTTTAATACAAATGACTGCTACTTTAGCTAAACAAACGATGCAGTAAACAGCTCGATAACAAGTTCGAACTTGTTTGTTTATACACTTACACTACAAGGCGCGAATCACATATAATTTTTTTTCGTTGTGTTGCCCCAACTTTTTTTTCACGCAATTTTTATGGGTGATAGAGCACACAAAGGAGCATAACATATATTAATTTCGTGATTGTAAGTCACAGAGAACTTAGAAAAAAAACATGTTCTTTTTTATTTTTATTTTTTTATGTAATTTTTTATTCTAAAAATTATAAAAAAATATATGTGATATACTCTGTAATGTAACCTAACACCTCGCGTTAGTTTGACTTCTTTATCTTAATTAGCTTCAGAGATATATCACATTCAGTAATAGTCAAGCATACGGATATTTTGCTCTCTATCTCAAGGTCAAAGCGGAAGTCGGTCGCGAAAAGTACATAAATCGTGTTTGAACATCAAGTCTATATTAAAAAATAAGTTTCAATATCGATTCCCATTTGGGGGCCGACTCGTCATACGTATCCGGCTAAACCCTTTCATTCGTAAATCACACCCCGCCAGGGGTCTCTCTGTATATCCTCCTCCTCCTCTCCTCCTTTCGCCGAGATATAGCAGCACCCCAAATATTTTGTTTATTATAAGAAGATTTCATTTCGTCCACTCCTTCCATCTTGCCCTCCTTTCGCCTAGATACTTAATTTTGCCTTTATATCATTTTCCTCATAATGTTACCAACAGCGATGTATATATTTTACTAGTCACCGATTTATCTGTTACGTAGTTATCTTATCTATATGTCTAGGGTAACAATGACGTAAAAAATTCGACAGCGAATAAAATTAACAATCTGGTTACACCAAAAGAATAAACTCCGAAATACCCTGATTCAAACTTAAGTTGCGGTAAATTATGCTGTTTTTTTTTTTGCAAATAGACATTTAATTTATTTTCTGTTATAATGAAATAGGTACACAACAATAATTTAAATATTACATTTGTACTTATTTATGCGAGATAGTTTAATACTATCTATTTAAATGGAAATAAATATTGAATAATGGTTCACTGACTTCTTACTTCTTAGTAAAAGACCCTTTTAAATGAAGTAAGGGGTATTACACACATCGGTGAGCTCACGCCGTCA